AAACAATCTTGTTTCATGTGCCTAACTACCTTAGCACTACTTTGGATTGATACCATTATGCGTGACATATTTGCAAGGATTGGAATGAATAGAATATTTGAAATGCAATATGTGACCTATCCTCATTTGGTTTATGATTTTTTTTGCTCATTTGTGTATACCAAGGATGAGAATGATCATGCAAATGACATAATCACCTTTCGTTTACTCAATGAGGACCGTTCATTAACCAAAAGAGAATTTTGCTCAACATTTTGACATCCCATTGTTTGATAAAGCACATGTGTATGATTCTCTTGTGGGGTATGAGGTGTGGAAAAGAATGACAGGAAAGACTGCAGTTGATCTTTCTAAGTTAAGTGTGAATCGTGTGCAACATCCAGTCTTCCGAATATTCTTAAAATTTTTGTCAAATTGTTTTCTCGGAAGACCGAATAATCATCACACGCAGATTTGGGATTTGTGTGTTCTTGCACAAGTTGTTTTGCCTGGCCCAGATCAAGTTGATGTTGCCTCCATCTTATGGACTCATTTCTACAACATGGCAACATCTACAGGAGAAATTGTAGTGAGGGCCTAATCACATATATAGCTACTTTATATGGTTTTGTAGACCCAGACCCCATTACCTCAAAACAGCTAATTTGCACATCTTGGCTTGTACAAAAAAACCACGATCTGGCTCTCTCACACAAGACACCCACCGGAGTACAAATCTATAATTGGCTCATCATCTCACGCAATACCATCTTTCTCCAAATCCCCTCGCCTGACCTTTCCCTGGATATCGTGGATCACCAAATCGGTGATGGTCATCACTATTGTCTCCCCGGGGCAATCCCGACACATTATGAAGAGCCCATACAAGACCATGACGCCACTGAACAACCCCCACTCATTCCCGAACAACCACAGCCACAACCTCAGGCTCAAGCATTTCCCTACTCACCGTTCGAGCAACAAATGCTCGATAGTATGGCCGTGCTCAACAACAACAAAACCCAACTTTGGGAGGAAGTTGGACTGTATCGTACAGAATAGAGACAAAGCTTCGAGAGGGTAAAGGAGCAAAGACAAGCAGACTCGCATACGTATGAAGAGGACCAACAGAGATATGAGGAAGACCAACGTAGGACCTATGGTCCTATATACTCCTATGTGGCACACCAGGGTGGGTTTGCATCTATGGCCGCTCCCCCACCCGCACCCTCTTGGTATGACCCCCACTGCATGGGGTTATTTTGGAGGTTCGAGCTCCGGTGGTGGAGGCGGGGATGGCGGCTATGGCGTCGATCACATGGATGGGGATACACACCATTGTGGAGATATGAGCAGGCATTAGGGACAATGCATTGACCCGGTCGGGTGAGGTACTTCACCCGATCGGGTGAGAAGTGACCGGGGACAATATGGCGTGTTGAGACACAAGAACATGGCAGATGGTTTGATTTTGACCGGTATCCGGTCGGGTGGGCACTATACCCGGCCAAAGGTGTTGAAAAACACCTATAAATAGCAAATTTTTTCTTCACTAATTTTCTTTCTTTCTTCCATACTTTTAGGTTCAGTTTAGAATAGTTATCTCTTAAATTTTTCTAGCATGTTTAGTCTCCAAATGATGAGCTAAACTCCCATTTCTTGGTTTTGCTTTTGAAGCTTGTTGATTATTAAAGTTGTGAGTTATTTTCTTAACTTCTTCTCTCGATTATTAATTCTTCCCTTAATCTCATTCTATATTAATGTTGGAGTATTGCTAAGTAACGATTAGTTAACACTTCGACATTAATTATTACTAGAAACGGTCAACGAACCAATGGTTAATCGTTGGTGGTTTCATAAGTAAGTAACTTAGGTTTATTAATGCACGGTCGTGGTTAATAAACTTAAGAGGGATCGATTTTGTTGGTTAAACCAAGACCGTTGTGTTTAGGTTATCAATCTCAATTGATTTCATCAAAAAGTTAAAAAGATTAAATGCTACTATTAAATCGGTATACGACGTTGTTCTATATTTGATTAATAGTAAGGGTTGTTAATGAACAGTCATTGTTAATAATTATCTTCGATGAATTGGAGATACTCCTCGATTGAGTATTCGAGAGGGGATAAGTTATAGATATAACAATGATCGACTAAATATATAAGTAGCAAGGTCAAGCTCTTTTTATTCTTGAATTAAATCTAATATAAGTCGTTTAACTTGTTGTTTTAATTAATTAAATCATACAATCCCAAAACCCCCCTTTTTATTACTAGTTAATTGAAAAGCAAGTTATTCCTTTCCCTGTGGATAGGAACTCTACTCCACTGTACTACGTAAAGTGTTAGTATCGATTTATTTTGACGTACTACGACGAAGTGCTCGTAGATAAGAACATCTCAGCTACTCTTGGAATTCCTACAGCAAACTTCAACTACTAAACTTTCTTTGCTTTATCTGTATGTTTTTATTTTATTTTATCTATTGTAATCTTCATTTTTATTAATAAATTTGGGAAGTGCTCCCCGGCACTCCCCCACCTCGTGTGGTTTATTCCGGGACCCAAAAAATGTTCAGGTATTGGAAATACCTAGAAAACATGAGAACAATTTGACTTTTCCACCCTGTAACCTACTTTGATTTATATAACATTCTTTCATACATCCTAACCACAAAACCTCTAACTTATCAACAATTTGGCTTTAACTATAGCTTTCCTTTCATACATTGTAACCGTAAGTCTGTTATCCAGCCCACCCATTGCAAATATATGCTCCATACCATTTATACATACATCTGCGTCAATAAAATTGCAACCGTGGCCTATAACGAGAAACATAATAGTAAAAAGGTGATTAATCTCACATCCTTTATTATTAAGGTTATGATTTGATCCGGGAAATGAAATCAATCTCTAATACAAGCAATTCTGTTGTTTGGATTTACTAAAGAAATATTATACGTACACTATGTAGCACCGATACCGGTATGCGGAAACGCGGAAACGCGGAAACGGGTACGGGGATACGTCAAAACTAAAAAAAGTAGGATACGGATACGGGGCCATATTTATAAATATTAAAAGTTATGGGGGTGTATTTACAAATATTAAAAGTTATAGGGGTCTATTTATAAATATTAAAAATAGATTTTTTTTGAATATATATATATATATACACACACACACACATATAATATCCTATGATGTCTACTCATTCATTGCATTAAAGCATTTTCCTTTTTCAAGATACTTAGTAATAAATTCATAATATTTCTCATATACACTGGTGTATCTCGAAATATAAATGTAGTCAATAAGTCATTATTTAAAATGTGAAATAAGTCAAACAACTACAATCTTGAAATTAAAAGTGCAAGTACCCACTTCGGAGTATGAGTTAATGACTTAATTCGGATATAGCCATATAGGCCCATTATTTGATTACCAAGTAAAATGTAGTTTTAGATTTTCATTTTTTTTTTGGAATTTTATTAAGTAAATTTTGGGATTTTTTTTTTTAAAAAATGGTTGATACGGGTATCCGTCAGGATACGAGTATCAGAAACTTTCAAAAAATTACAAAAAAAAAATGGAAACTTTTAAAAATTGCAGATACGGCCCGGGAACGTACGGTACGGGTATCCTAGAGTATCGGATACGGGAACGTATCCGATACGCCGATACGCTGCCCTAGGGAAGTATCCGTGCTTCATAGTACGTACATGTTTAGATTCTAAAAATTTGTAAGATAGAAACGTGCAGCATACCTCTTGTCAGAATTGCCCCCCTTTTGGCTAAGGAAGGACCGGAAAAGCGGGGAGTTGACGTCGTAAATCATCTTCGCAGTTGACTTAAGGATTGATAAAACCACAAAAATCTCCAAACCCCTAGCTCTCTCCAATTTTCCCTGAAACAAACCTTTCGATACTGGACCACATACACCAAGGCGCCCAGTTGATGATGGGCCTGTAGGATGTGCCCCATCATCAATACTGATTTGGTGCAATCCCACTAAACAGCATCTTATGCACCGAACTCGTTGTCATATAGAAATTCGACGCATTAGTCTTTGTGATTTATAAAATGTGTTAAACTTCCTTATATTATAATTATTTATAAGAATAGATTTAGCATTTAACGAATCGTTTATCTTAATATTATAATTGAATATGTAAATAGATTGGTCAAGATTCCTTAATTATTATTATGCAAAAGTAATAATTATTTTCCATTTATTTGGAAAATAAATTTATTCACATAAGGGGTTTTGTGATGAATAATAACACATCGGGTTTTGACGCATTTTGAAAATCATAGGACTAATGCACCGATTTATAATCACAAGGGGATTTGGTACATTAAACTGTATATATACTAGATTTTGTTTGTGCAAATACGTAACTCGGTTCATTTCTTTATTAATAATGTTTAGAATAAAATGAGAGAAATATGTTGAAAAGTGACGTAAGAAGCAAAGTCGATAGATACTCTCTAGCTAACGCGTGCTCACCGCCTAGTGAACACAATGTTCAAATTGTTGTGACTGTCTTTAAGGGTTCAAAAATAACCTAAAAGAGATATACATACTCTTTTGTGTTCTTTTTTATTAATTTAATATCACATGATCTACCACTAGTTTCAAATCCTTTTCAAAATCAACTTTTTCTTGACCTAAGCTTATTATACAGTGCATGCATAACTTGTCTTGGTCCCCGAGTTCCAGCTTTTGCCGGCAATAGGGCTGCACTACACCACTCTGTTCTAGCTATCTCAAAGTGGCCACGGTGATCCCGAAAGTAAATTTTCTATACCTACCTTTCTTCCTTCATAAAAAAAATGGTGGCAGCCACATTACACTTTTTACTAATTTTATTTTGTTCATGTATTGTTTTGTAAAAGGAGTTCCTAACTGGAACCTTCATGAAGTAAACGAAATGTGGTCTTTTCTTTGACTTTTTAGGACGTTTTTTCTAGTGAGAGTAATATTGTTGTAGAGTGCATTGCTTTGATGCTAGAAAGTTTTTTTTTTTTTTGAAAGGGCTGACATATTATATTAATCAATACTCTCGGTGTATAACCGAGAAAACAATAGAATTGAGCAACAACCAAAAAGCCTTAATCTCCTCCTAACCAACATTAACCATAAGCCCATCGGCCCTCTCAACCTTGATTAGACATAGAATAGTCCACCCCAAAAGGAGCGAGACTAATCGTTGAACATGTGAGAGGTTCGAGGCTATTAGCGGCTGAGTCAGCCTGATTGCATCCAACCAAGAACCTAGTAACTAGGATTAACCAAAAAAATGCACCTACCGCCATTAGTGTTTTAACAAAATAACAACAAAATAAGAAATAGAAATTAGAAAATAGCACAAGTAAATAAACTTTGAGTGCTGGACCAGTTGACTTCATCCTTCAAGCATCTTCTTCCAACCCCTAAACCCACAATTCTTCTGTGGTGGTGGTTCAGGAGGGGGGAAATTAAAACTACTTCTTGCTCTTCCTTTTACACTTGTATCAGGAGTTCTCCATTCCACTTCATTAGTCTACCCATGGTTAGGTGATCTCTACCCTTTACGGCCGTCAAACAACCGTAGATTGCCACCCATTGAGTAGCCCCTTTCATCGGGGCCCAATCGCCCGTGTTCCTCCGGGATCAAAGACCGCCGGTACCACTTCCATCTCAGACACCAATAGAACCAAAATTGCCAAAACAAACAACGGATAATCAAACCTCAACATCTGGCCACAAGCGAAATCGCAAAACACCAGTCAAACCTCTGCAATCAATATTCCAGGCGGCACCTCTGCAGACTGCAGCGGGAGTGCACTTCCAGATAGATCTACTAGGTACATCACCAAACCCCCTTCATCGCAGGTCGAGAAGAAAATCGATCGACTCTCGATCTGTGACCTTGGTCTGCGATGAAGCCTCTAAGCACGAAACTCCAGCCCCTCGTCTTGCACAGAGACGGACCAAAAAACTAGCAAACGTCAAGCGAAGGAAATTCGCCGACCCCAATCTCGCAGACCCTAGCTGCGCCTAAAGCCTTTGATGCTAGAAAGTTATTCCTCCGTATTTCTTAAGAGGAATAGAGAAAACTGACAAGATTTTTTTTCAACAAATGATAAAACAAGGCTTCATTTATGTCACAAGGAATACAAAAATAAATAGGGAAGGAGTATAAAAATACAAATCCATATAAAAATTGAATTAATGGAATCCCAAGTTTAATAACAAATTTCCTCAAGGAAAACACTGGAACAACTTGGAGGCGAAATCCCGGAAGATGGAAGCATGACCCATCGTGATTACAAGAATCAATATGAATCCCAGTTTAGATGTTCCGATTGAACCTTAGAAAGAAGAAGACCGCTGCTTGGGTTGGTTGGGGCTGAGTCAAACCATCCGAGTTCATCCATCAGCCTCCCAAACAAATGACCCACTGCATAAGCAACACCAGAAGCCATAGCTGCAACAATAATGTATTGCAGTACAGTCAGCAAATAATCCTTAAACGTATTTGCTCTGCGGGTGTAAGCTCTTCCAATGGCCAGAAAAATGATGCACACAAAAGAAGCCACTGCAACCATTAAAAGCTTCATGTCTCTATCGTCTCTCTCACGAAACGCAAATCCATAGATGGCAGGTGGGGTGAGGCCAAAGGTGAGGTATGACAGCACTGCAACAATGAGATGAAGTGGAAAGTCTTTTCTTTGGCCTAATACTTCTTGGTACTCTTCTGCAGGGCGATTGCTATGCAAGTCCAAAAACTGCAATCAAACAAGTCGATTTTATGTGATTATTGTATTTCGTAATCAATTACTCCCTCTATAAAAAAAACATGTCATCATGGTATAATTTTCTTTAGTAAAATCAATAAAAAAAGCTCTTAGAAATGATTAATGATCGACCATTCAGGCCTAAAACTTGTTTCCATAATTATTCAGTATATCAGCTAAAATGGCTTGGGTTTAGATGAATTTTACAAAAATATAAAATTTTACTTGATAATTGTACTCTTTTTTGGGATTAAAAAAGATTCGTGAAATTGGAATTTCTTTTTCTGGCTAGCGTACCAGATTGGCACTTGAAATATGTGTGTAAACTTTTAGTCTTAGTTGGACTGGGTTTTTCGTTAGAGAGTAATGAACTACTCAACTGATGTGAACAACGTAAGACACCACAAGACGGTGTGTGGTTAGGTCATACTCCGTACTATTCTTGAAATACATGTGCTCCTTGTCAAGACTTGTTATTTGAGTTGCTCATTGAGACTTGAGTTACATCATAACAAGTCCATAATGGATTATGGACTTTGGGTAGACCAGAAAAGGAACTCATTCATATAATTTTTTACACAAAAACTTTACACATTGAGAAGTTTTTATTGAACTTGGGATGGACCCGGGGCCTGGATCAAGGGCATATACTTGACTTAATAGATAGGAGCAATAAGTAACTAAGGCGCGATTTGCAGATAAGGATAGGTATTATATTTGCATACATTGTGTGCCATGATTACAAGACCGCCTATGAGATTTGCCACTCCAATAGTCAAAACATTCACTGCAAAATAATCAACAGATTTTTAAGAAAAGATTATACTGTTGGCATAAAAGGATCCATTTAGTTTTGGGATGAGAGGGTGTAAAGGATTTACGTGTGGTGGCACCAGAGGCAGCAGCTGAAGAAACCAGACTTAAGCTTGTGATTGACTCAGCTAGGCCTCCATACACTATGCTCTTGACCACCTCTATTGATTGTGAACCACTTTTTCCGGTCACTTGTATAGGATCTTGCATGCAGGTTGAAGTTCTTGCCTCGTTTGTGCTTTCATCAATTTGAATTTGCAAGTCTCGTCCTGCAATGCAGTTCAATTCCATCAAGATCAGACCGATTTTTCCACACTTCTGCTAATAGCTCTATCATAAATTCATTTGTAACTTGAATAGTACTTAAGAGTTATGATGACTTGTTAAACAATCTTGCAATCTCATACAGGTGTAATATAAAGTTACAAACTCGCATATAAAACAATGGGTCACATGTCTCACACTCTCTCACCTTTAATATTTGTAAAGCTTCCGTTCTTCTCGTCTCTAATTTCGGGTTCTTGTTTCTTTGAATCTTCCATCCATGCACCTGCATAAATTCCAGTGAGCATGATACAAGTCCCACTCCCCATCTCATTTAGTTTTGCAGTAGAATATATGAAAAACACGAGGTTAACAAAGATCAACCAGACTTAATCCGCGCTTGGTAGAACTAATTAGCTTATTCTTTTTATCAACCGAATAAGTAGCATTTGCATTATTTGGCTTAATTTAATATTTCCGAATATTTTTCCTTTATAAAAATGTAGTCATTCGAACAAAGTAACCCTTTCCAAATGGGCTCTTAAAGTCTCAGTCAGATTTCATTACCTGAATGCCCTTCTCCCACGACAAAATTTCTTTCGGCAGAACTCCCCTCCGCTTTTGCGTAATACTGCCGATCATGCTTGAGTTTCTGTTTAGCTGCATCCCCATTCATTTCTGGTGATGGGGTCTCGAATTCCTTTTGTGAAGGAGTAGGAGCATCCTGACTTCCATTTGAATCATGGGGAGCTGATGAAGTATTAGCAGCACCGCTACCCTGTATATGTGCATCGCCTGGTTTCTTCTTCCCTGAAAAAGATCGAATTTGAAGAATGATCTAAGGTAACATGTCCCTATTCAAGAAAGACGCATTATATATGCAAAAAAGAATAGCTATGGATGATGATAAGAAGCACAAATGAATGAAGGAGACCTTGTGTTCCAAAAAACAAATGTTTCAAAAGAAACTAGCTAAAAAGTCCAATGGATCTAAAAGAACTAACTTTCAAATAATTTACAGAAAACTACAAAAAGAATAAGGGATAGGTTAATACTCTCATTTTTTTTATCCCGGAGAAGCCACTGGAGGTGGGGAAAGCGCCGGGGAACACTTTCCAAGTTTATTAAAAATATGAAATTACAAAACAGAGTTCAACAAGAAAATACAAATAGAAACACATTGAGAAAGTTTAACAAGTAAAATTTGGCACCCCTACAGTTGTTCCAAGTGATCGGTTGTATTTGTTGTGGAATTGGATGGCCCTTTGCAGATATGGAGGGTAAGTTTTTGCCTCCTGATGTGATGTGATAACTCTCATTAAAATAATGGAAATAATGTCAAGTGTAGGTTTTTTAATTCAAACTTAACTGATATGATGTTATGTTATTTCAATATGGAACAAACTCTTCAATACCAAGCAGCATGTGAACAGAAACTCAGCCAGATTTCATTACCTGAATGCCCTTCTCCCACGACAAAATTTCTTTCTGCAGAACTCCCCGTCGTTTTTGCATAGTCCTTCCAATTGTGCTTGAGTTTCTGTTTAGCTGCATCCCCATTCATTTCTTTCACCGATGGAGTCTCGATTTCCTTTCGTGAAGGAGTAGGAGCATTCTGAGTTCCATTTGAATCATGGGGATGTGATGAAGTATTAGCAGCACTACTACCTTGTATATGTGCATCGCCTGGCTTCTTCTTCCCTGAAGAAGATCGAATTTCAAGAATGATAAAAGACGCAATATATATGCAAAAAAGAATAGCTATGGATGACGATAAGAACCACAAATGAATGAAGAAGACCTTCCATTCCAAAACCAAGAAAAAGAATCATGTTTAAAAAACAATAGCTAAAAAGTCCAATGGATCTAAAAGAACTAACTTTCTAATAATTGACAGAAAACTACAAAAATAATAAGAAATAGGTTAATACTCTCATTAAAGTATGAGATATAGTGTAAAGTGTAGGTTTGTTAATTCAAACTTAACCGATATGACGTTATGTTATTTCAATATGGAACAAACTCTTAAACACCAAGTAGCGTGTGAACAGAAGTAGAGGCAAACAAGAAAGTAAGAATAACTACTAACTACCTTGGTCAGAATGAGATGGTTGCGGTTGAGATGTGACAGATGTCTGTGGATTTGATGTTCTTGATCTCTGCCCAAAAATCCAGTGCAGGTCAAAGCACTTTCCTGCTTAATTTACATAAATGTATATGTTAACTACTTGTGATGATCAAATGAAAAATCAAATGAATAGGAACCTACTCCATCCGCCTCTTTAAAATTCTTGCTTTGATTTTTGAATAAATGTTTGTGAACCTTAATACTACCTCCGTCCCGGTGAAAGATTCTCATTGCAAAATGACACGTTTATTTAGACGATAATTAAGAAAGGTAATTTGAGTATATTTTGTTAAATAATGTTGATGAATATATAACGAAGTCATTGATGATAAGTGTGATGTTATAAATATATTACTTTTAATATTTGATGATGAAGTTGTCATTCAAGAGTGTTAATTGTTTCCAAAAATAGAAATGAGAACCTTTATATGGGACGTCCATAAAGGGAAGAAGGAACCTTAGAATGGGACACAGGGAGTACTTAATTATGCTTAAATAGTACACTGCTAAATTATAAAATGAAAACACTTCTGAACAATATTTAGTAATATTCCATCTATTCATTTTTACTTGCCTCGCTTTTGAACATTGAAACATTCCATTTTGATAACTTGTCATACTTTTTCAACTTTAACACATAAATACCTTATTTTAGCATCTTTTTATTCAACCTTTTTCAACATATTGACCTTCTGAGTTCTGACTCATGTTTTCTACACTATTTACTACAATTACAACTTCACTCATAGACCCTATGAACCCCACTCAAGCAATTGAACGTAAACAAATGGAACAATTATAGTTGAAATAATAAATTTTTTGAGACTTTCATTTTACTCTCTTTGTCACAGGCACGGATTTACACTACTACTCCAGTACTCCTCTGGGCTAATGTCTAGTGCAATCATATTTTTCTTAAATTTTCTAGTGCAATTTTTCTATTCTTCATTTCTTCCCGTTATTCTAAACCTTGTATAATTACTTCTATCCCAGCCTAGCTCAGAATTATGGATTCAATCCTGTTTGTCCTACTTCGGATATCTTACTACTTTTGCCACTTTCTAAAAGTGACAAATTTGTGTTTAACATCATTTATATCTCGTCTCAAGAAAAGTCAGTTACACAATTCATCTTCCTTATCTCCATTACCAGTTAAACTTGGCTAGATCTGATGGGATGAATGTAGTAGTCTCTTAAATAGTAAACATTGAGACCTTAAAAATCAAAGCATGAAGGGAGGTGGTATTTATAAATTAACACACACAATATTAATATGTATATACATACCATCAGGCAATGCACTGTTTGGTTCCTGTTTCTCTTCAGGGTTCCCATTGCTTTCATCTGCTTCTGTTCTCGAAGGGAGGAAAACTCGAAAGCATGACAGACAACCGAGCAAATCGAGCTTTTTCTCCGGATTAGGGGGCGGATCAACCCTCCTTCTTTCCCGCTTGATCCTCAGAACAACCTTGGAAATGGGGCTTCTGCAGTTTGGGCAATACGCGTCATGCGTGGCGTGCAGCTTGTCTACTGCTCTGCTGTCGAAGAACTCCAGCTCTATTACTTCATCCTCGTCCTCCGCCGGCCCGACCGAGTCTCCGGCGTCTACTGTGCCCCTCAGAGCGGCGCTCACAAGGCTCTGAATTTCCCCAACGTTTCCAATCTCAGCAGAAGAGTTTGAGCTTATTGGGGCGCCTTCAATTTCAGCTGTTTTTTGGACAGAAAAAAAAAAACGTTTGGGACTCTTGTGTTATTCCCAGATTGCTTTTCTATAGAGAAATTGAAATTCTCAGAAATAGGATGGAAAGTAATGTGAAGCAAAAAAAAGTGTGTTTTTCATCAAACCACGTTTTGCATTGATTTAGAGCCTGTTTGTTAGCACGAAAATAGGTTGTTTTGGCTGTTTCTGCTGAAATTTTTGAAGTTCTGGTTGAAGTGGCTGATTCTTGAAAAAATTATTTTTAAAATATATTTTATTAATAAAATAAAGAAAAAATTATATGTAAAAATAACTAAAATGGTCATCTACGATAACTTCAGTCAATACAGCCAGAAAAGTAACTTCAACCTTACTTTTTCTGCTTATTATACAATTCAGCGCGCGAAAGCAAAAGTTACGTGTTTGGTGAAAAAGCTGACTGATAAGCCTGATAAGCTGAAAAACAACGTCAATACTTAAACTTAAAGGGAAAATGGAAAGTAATAATCCAACCTTTTAGCGGTCTTCTTTCAATAATTTCACTTTTTGATTATTCATGAATAATCCAACCTTTGCACCTCTTCTTCGTTCATTGGTCCCTGGTCGGTTAATGACCTACTATTCCAAGTTATTTTTTTATCTTTGCAAAATATTATCTTTGTGAAAGATGAGATTTATGGTATAATGATTTGCAAAGATAAGAAAGTAGCTTGAAATAGCAGGTCATCAACCGGTCAGGGACCAGTAAATGAAGATGAGGTGCAAAGGTTGGATTATTCATGAATAACCAAAAGGTTGGATTATTGTAAGAAGACCGCTAAAAGGTTGGATTATTAGTTTCCATTTTCCCAAACTTAAATTAAACTTAATTGAATTGCTATTTTGTAATTTAATCTAAATTTGATTTATTTAAATTTTGTATAAGTCTAATAGTATTTGAATATTATTATATGAATCTAGTATAGTTAAATTAACTATATATGGTTTGATCTTATTAGTCTTGGTCAATGTAGTCTGAATGTATCTAATCTGCTATCATATGAACGGAATCTATTATTCTCCAAGTCTTATGCAGTCCAATGAAATATGTATGGGATCTATTTTGTTTTGAATTTTTGGAAGTCTACTTAAATGTGACAAAATGTGAACCCATCTACTCTATTTTAGTTTGGCAACATTTGAAATAAGCCATGTTTTAATTTGAAGTTAGAAAAATTGTAACCAAACTTGTTTTATGAACGATATTTTTCTTCTTTCAGTGTTTTGTAGCATATCATTTGAAGGATATTGAGTCTATGATTAGAATAGGGTATGTCATAATCATTGGGAGAACGGCTGAATTAGATAAGCAGTTAAGAAATCTTAGATAAGCCATTAAAGTATTAGTGGATCAAATAAAAGCATGAATCCTTCACTAAGCTTTTCTTAGTTATTCAATTAACTTCGTTACTTTTTCTTATTGGATAAAGGGTCAAATAGACCCTTGAACTAACTTAAAGTGTTCAATTAGTCCCTTTTATAGGAGGTTCTGCCCGGCTGTCACCAATTGGGGCGGTTCCTGGTGGAATTTTTTAATGAAATTTTTTGAACTTCTTCTTCATTAAGTCTAGTTTACTCATACCAAATTTCAGCTAAAAATTCAACCGGGAAGGCAGTCAAATAATTTTTGAAGATAACTGCGCAGTTAACTAGCGCAGTACATGTCGTCAGGGCCGGCCCAGGCCAAGTGCCAGCAGCCCAACCGCATAGGGCCCGTAAATTATGAAGGCCCAAAGTTTAAATAATCCACCTATTATTAAAAACTAATTAAAGCCCAGTAGTGAACCCACTCCTTCATTAAAAAGCCTTATATAGCCAAGGGGATTCGAACCCTTAATTCCTTCTCACGCATGCGAACTGCAAGCCACCTCAACTACTTGATCAATATGTATTTCTATATCATACAATTATTGATATAACCCATAAGATTTTAAACCCAATACCATCAACTACAATTGTTGATATTATTTTGTAATCATAATAATTTTTTGTATTGCATGTCATTATTAAATAAATTAAGTATTAGATATTTATGAAATATTCATTATATTCATAATTATATTTCTACCTATTTTAAAAAAAGGCCCACATTTTGTTTTTGCACAAGGCCCATGTTTTCTTAGGACCGGCCCTGCATGTCGTAAAATCAATTGACTGTCTTCCCGATTTACTTTTTAGCTAAAATTTGATATAAACTTAATGAAGAAAATGCTCAAAAAATTTTATCAAAAAATTCCACCGGGAACCTTCCCAATTGACGATGGCCAGACCGAACCTCCTATATAAAGGGCTAATTGAACACTTTAAGTTAGTTCAAGGGCCAATTTGATCCTTTAGCCTTTCTTATTTGTTAAAAGAATTTGTTATTCTAATTAATCCATTCTCTTCTTTGCAACTTTCAATCATATAATTTTTACGTTAATATTTTTCATGCAGATGTGATGAATAAATTGGATCCATTTTTAACGGCTAAATTAGATAAGTAGTTAAGAAATCTTAGATAAGCCATTAAAGTATTAGTGGCTCGGATCAAATAAAAGCATGAATCTTTCCCTAAGCTTTTCTTAGTTATTCCATTAGCTTGGTCACCTTTTCTTATTAGTTAAAGAATTTGTTATTCTTATTAATTCTTTCTTTTATATTAAAATCTCAATCACACAATTTTTAGTTTAATATATAGGGAAAAGGGTAAAAAATGAAACTAAGGTTTTTAACGGAGTTCGAATTAGACACTAAGATTCAAAGTGGATCAAATAAACACAAATTTTAACCTTTTGGTTCCTTTTGAGTTTTGAGCCACTCTTTAAAAGACAACTCCGTTAAAAGACCCTTCCAGTCGTTAAAGCTCGTTAACACCCACACCCTTTCCATCTGATTAAACAACACAACCCCTCAATGTATGAAAACTAAGTTCCTACGGGTAGAGAACGAAAAGATTAAACAACACAGCCCTTTCCAGCCTTGGCTATAGAGGGACCATACTACTACCATAGAAGTTGTGTAGTTATGCTTGCACTGCAAAAACTAAATGACAATATTCATTTTAATTTAGGCAGGAAAAAAAATTCTATACCAAGTGATTTTGGAAATAAATTTCAATTTCGTATTTTAAACCGTCCATGCTCCATGTGCTCTCGCCACCCCCATCGAAGAGAAATTCAGAATTATAAACCTAACATCCTAAATCTAATAATTATGGGCAGCAGGGGACATATAATATAGCTTACTAAAGCTTCCATAGGTGTGTTGTGTGCATAAGCAACCACCATCTCTCGTATCATGATACAAGTGCAGCTATTTATTTAGCTCTAAATCAAATAATTGTGGGCAGCAGGGGACATATTATACTTCGTATTTTTAAAAGAAAATGACCGGTTCATATAGAGAAATTGTCGATTTAGATGTACGAGAGATAAACTTGTGAGCTAAAAAAGAAATCTTAGAGCTGTTTCTTTTAATCTTAGAGCTGTAATAGACTATACTTCATCTGCTTTCCGTCATTCTTTAGGAATTTCTTTGAAAATAGGAAGACTGGAAGTTGGGGCTCTAGACCCTCTCTGATTTATGTGTACCTAAGATGAGATCGATGGCCAAGCATTATCACGGAGTACTATTGTTACCTTTTCCTATGCCGGCACACTTCAATAAGGGTTGTTTGGTATTGGGATAGCATATACCGGGAGTTCGTAATCAAAAGGAAGAAGGAGAGACTTGATAACAGGGAATGAACTAACAGAGCCGTCAAAAGGGTGGCCTAAAAGAACCAAAAGGTTAATGTGCCTAAAGGTTAATGTGTCTGATAGCCGTGTTTGGTTGATTTTGCCTCCTAACAGTATTGTTGATGTACTAAACTTTGATTTGATTAATGTCAATTAATTGCTCTCTGTTAAAAAAAAAAGAACCTAAAGGTTGAAATTTGTGTTTATTTGGTCTATTTAAATCTTAGTGTCTAATTTGAACTTCATTAAAAACCTTAGTTAAAAATCTTAGTGTTCCCTTTTCCCTAATATATATTGCCAATACATCAAGCTAGTGCCCCTACTCAATTACTAATATGTTTTTTTGAAACGAAAGTATAATATGGCAGTTAGCTACTGACCTCTACTTCCAAAATGGTACCGTTTGGTGGAAAGAATAGTATGATCCTTTGAAGGATTCCCAATTTTGTAGGTCCATATACACTCGTGGCATCTCCATGTTCCTTATTTAGGCGCAAAAGTTGAATTGATTATTGATGCGTAATGAATTATTATAGATTTAAATATTCGGTATATGTTTATTGGATTTTCTTAAAATATTACTAACATAAAATTTCTATATATAAAAAGTGACTACACATATACTTTTCTGACTACACATAAATTTTGACTACAATTACAATTATTAAAAGTTATTACTCCCTTCGTTCTTTTTTATTAGTCCTCTTAGGGTTTGACATGAGTTTTAATAATAAAGTAGTAGGGTAAGTATAGAGTGTGTAGGGTAAATGATAAAGTATGAAAAATGATACTACGTATATTAAAAAGAGTAAAATGATGATAAAGTAGGAAAGAGAGTGTATTAAGATGAGTAAAGTGATGGTAAAGTAGTTTGTAAAAAGTAAGTGGGGTAAAAGTAATAAAAGTGGAGGTATTTTCTCAAAAACTTTCCTTAAAGGGAAAAGAGGACAAATAAAAAAAACGTCCCAAAAAGAAAAGAAAAACTAATAAAAAAGAACGGATGGGGTAATAAGTTACATTTTTTCAACTTTCGTTAGTTATTCTAATCATATATTTGGAATTATTCCATGTTAAATTCATGCAGAATAAAGTAATGCTTTTCATTTTAGGCGTTGATAACTTTTTGTTTGATTTTTAAGCTAGCTAGTTGAATTGCTTGTGTAATTGTGTTGTTTTATTTTAAGGTGATAACTCCGGTACTCATTTAAAAATGGGGTATCATACCTACCATTCACTTGACTGGTCCAAAT